TCCACAACTGTCTTTGCACCTCGTGTGGAGATGGCGCCGCCGCCCCTTGCTGGCGATCATCTGGGGCGGGGAAGCCCTTGCATTCAAGGTCGCGGTTCTGTCTTGATGAAATGCAGCTGCCGTGACTGGCGCCGTTGCACCAGACGGAAGCCACGAGCGCCATCTGCTGCGCGGACAGACCTCGAACCAGGTTTCCAAATACTCCACGCACGCTGTACCTCAACATTTGCGTCTTCAACAACCGAGATTACCAATCGAGCTGTCCACACGACAACCGCATGCTAGTGTTTGCCCGGCGCTCCATATTCAAAGTTACGTTGAGGCTCTTCGGATTTGTAAGACGACGAGACGTAGTCCGCGGACTCCGAGACCGGTATCAATGCTTCCGATAATTGCAACACTCGACATCTTGTACTCGTTAATCATGTTGGCCTACTACGTCGCCTAGCTATCATCATGCTCACCGCTCAATCGGCAATTGACGTGCAACCGGTCTGATTTGGGTCTGAACAACCTCATCGGAAGAAAGAGATTGGAGCCCAGTAGCATGACGATAACTAAACAAGTGGGCGGGTGGCATTTGTAGCACCCGTACCAGGCTCGCCTCTCGCTATAGATACAGATCCGTGTCCGGAATCACGGAACTTCCATCCCCATACCAACGAATACTGTACCTGCAATTGATGTACTGACTGTCCGCAGCGGACGTTAAGTCATGCAAAAGACTTGATTCAGAAAGAGGGGTCTGCACAAAACAGTTCCACAACACATGGTGGCGTGCATGCGTCTCATGCCCCACTCTTCCTTCCGGTATACCAGTATCTCGCCCAGTGAACTGATGTTCTATCTTCAACAATCACTGCAGGGTCATTTACCCGGTATCTGGGATTCTTTCATCAGCAGTGCGCACTTGTGCTTGCAGGCCGAAGTGTCTTCAGGCAAAATGTGCAATATACGCACTGCTAGTAGTCATCGACCAAGATCGTGCTTGTTGAACGCACGCGCGTTTGGCTTCAGATGCGGAGAAATCCCTTGTCCCAACCCTCACTGTTCTAGCGTTGATGTGATGTGTGGTGAAGTTTTGTTGCAGGGAATGACGTTGCCAGAGGTCGTGTAAGGGGTCCGAGGATAATACTTCCCCATTGTCCGTAGCTTTAGATCGTTGCAGTATCCTAGATTTGCGCTAACAACATGAAACGATAGGCAGCAGACACTTCAAGTCAAAGCTGTCAGCTATGCGGAAGCTGGACGCCTTGAAGCCAGAAATGGTCGATCTGGAGAGTGTCAGACGCTTTTCTGGATGGCGCACTTGCATCGTGATAGCCTTCACTATGCTATTGGGAGACAAGTGCGTTGTTTTACCTGGCACCATATCGCCGTGTACTGGTTTACTACACGCTGCTATGGCTGTCATAATCTCAATACACTTTGGGGAATGCAGCGAATCGGTATCGCTCCGCTGATGCTTAGCGTGCGTCGCCTTTATCTGTCCGAGGCTCAATGGCAAGATGCTAACCAGAACAGCTACAGTTTGGGGGCGTCATCAAGATCCCACATTCCTGGCCCACTAGCTGAAGATACTATCGGAGACCCACGGACCTGGATCAGAGATCTCTTTGTAGATCGAAGCCCTACAATCTCGCTCCAACGTGCACTAGATACATCGCTAGGACTAACATCATCTTCCGCACGCGACAAGCGAATCCAGCCCTCAGCGGAATTGTCGCCGTGTAGTGTAAGGGTCATGTTTGAACATTTCAAAGGCACCATCGTTGCTTGCATGGGAGGTTATTGTTTATGACAGCTTAGTGCGTCGCACGTGTTTCGCATTCGCGTTGATATGCAGATTCGCGACCATGGTAATCTAGGTAGAGTCCGCTGTAAATTTGTCACTTCCCCATGTTGAGCGGACAATTTCCCACTGTCTCTTACGCGCTAAGTGCACGTTCGCTTTCAGTCGAGTGATGTCTCTGTTGCGACCTCGGCAGCTGACGGTTGCCAATTAGGACTGGTTCCTGCATGTGACTAAGCTGCGCGAGCCGCAGATCGCCGGCTCAGCCACCTTTGACCCTTCTTTCCCAGCTGAGATCGGCTTCACCTGCCCTTCGCACACATCTGCTGCCACTCGCGCCGCAAAATCAATATTTCGGACGGCCAGGGTAGGCGATGCGACCGCTACGACTTGCCCTGACTGTAGCACAGCATGACGCAGTCGTGCAGTATTCTCAGAAATCGACGAATTCGCACTCCGACATCACTCTCTAACATCACTATTCAACAGTCAACATCACAAAGTGACATCCTGACAGCTCCCGTCTAGATGGATCATCTACTTCCCGTCAACTAATGCTGCCAAGCGCCATCGGCTCGGAGAACATCGCTCGTGGCCATATACGCGGATCAGCATGCGAAAGAGAACCCGGGACAATCAAGATCTCTTGGCACGGGAACAAGAGTCTAACGCCGATCCGGCCTTCGGTTGCCATCAGCCGCAGTCGGTGCTGATCCTGATCGTCTGTTTCCTGGGAGAGCGCCCCACAGAAGTCGTTGACAACTCGGTAGACCGTAGACACAGCCACAATGCCGCCTGGCATCCCTTCTTCAGTTGCATCGCGTACCCGAAGATCAAGCACCGAGCAAATTTTCGCTACGAGTATTGCAGACCTGTTTTACGCGACAAAACTACACCCTGTCGGCGCAAACTAACGACGATGGCCTTCTGCATTTGGACCTGCGTGACAGCGCACCTGCATCCATCGTCTGGGACTCTGTCCCCACCGTCACCGGCCGGTGAGCTCTACGCTTGTCATCCTCTAACCACAAGCTCCAGGGGTGCACGAGATATCACTACTATATCTTGTTGGTGCATGATGGCTGCAATTTGAGTGCAAGTCGTGTGCATGGTACCGTCGTCTCTCTATTCCAGACCTGGCCAGCCTCGAAGCACTGGCTCGGGATGTAAGGATGGTCGGTGCCGTCTCCGTTTCGCAACCAAATTACCTGCAGTGGCTTCAACGCTAACACGTGGCTCGTTCGGAACACCTTCGCGGAATGATGTGATAGCGGGAAATGGTGTAGTTAGCACAGGGTTCCGACAGGCTCCGTTTCGGGGCATTTTCTCACACCTTGGTACGTCAGATGTGTCGAAACGGATCACTAGGTGCTCTAACGCCAACCTTAATTCCAGCCAGGCCTGGCAGGACCTACCTCTCCTGGTCACAAGGTAGACCCCCGCTACACTTCAAACATTTCGAACAACGACAATCGTTGTAGATGAAGAACCTTACTATCGGCTCTCCTTTACTATGCAGGTGTCGACATCGTATCCTAGATGTCTAGGGAGGGAGAGTGTCTGCAACCACAAATGACGAACAACACCCACGGCTTGTGAGAAATGACGTCAGGCATCCATACGAGTATACGAGATCGAAACCACGCTCTTCATCTAGCGAGATCTCAGCGCAACGTCCCCCGCCGTCACTGTCAACGGGTCTCGGAAACCTCGCCTATCGCGGTACATCAGAATTGAAAATTCGCAATGTAACTGTGTATCCTGTTGCATGCCGCAAAAGGGTAAACACCGGGCTGAGCAGAAACGCTCATTGCTCCGGCGCACCTCATTCGTGCGCCTCGCTCGAAAAGAACCCACCATCAATCCACATCGCCACCCCCGGCCGACAGCGTACTGACAGCATGTAATGGCGGAGTTGCGCGATACATCACAAGGTTTTAGGCGTGACATCTGTCGCTCTTTTTTGCTTCTCCCGTACCGTTGGCTGTGCAGTGTAGATCAAGAGTTGCTTCTCTGTCTTTCTGGGCACGCGAGTCCGGCCAAGCCTGGCGGAGATGCCTCCGCAACGCCTCGGTACAAAGAAAGGGAGAGCTTTTAGGTAAAGGCGTTCAGCTGCGTATAGCTGCTGCAATTAAGGCGTATGCGTTCAGGCGAGCATCGCCGGCTGAGGGTGTGGTGCTCTACTTTCAAGTCCAGAGCCACCTTTCTTGCTTCCTTTTTCGATCTCTAGGTGGTGATCTCTTCGACTGCATCTCCGGCGTCGTTTGCAGAGGGGGCTGTGTGCATGATCCAAACCCCACGAGTTTTGGATGCCACTATTCGCAACTATGCATTACAGCATTAGAACAACACTTGACGTCGTTTGATGAGTAAACGCTTCAGGCGGGTACAGTGCCCGCACGTGGTCGACCGACACCATGGGGTAGTGCGACTTGTATATTAGCGCGATTGATTTGTTTCAGAGATGTGATATCGATTCTTTATTAAGTGTACATACGGAGCGGAAAGCCATTCATTCACCCCGGGCCTTCTCTCGCGGCCCAAGTCTCGATGCACTAGTTTAGCCGTAGCTCTTGGTAGCGTTAAGTACCTCTTCTAATCATCTGTGAACAAACTCTGGATTCTAGAATCAATACTGCTTGTAAAGGCGATCGTGATGAGGAGTCTGGCTACAAGCCTCGGCTTGTATTATGTGACTTGTACGTATCTTTTACATCGTTGATCTTGAAAGAGAGCAATCTAGCCTCTGCAATAGCATCGCTTGGCCTACGTGCAGCTTCTCGGCCTTGAATCGATGCATGATTATGAATGTATGTGTAATAATGATGTGAGAATGGCTACAGATCCTGACAGATCATTTCTCAGATACTAATGAAGTCCGTTGCTGACATGGGTTAGACATAGAGCAGCACATGCAAATGCATACTAGTCATATCGTAGGAACACCTATGTACACATTATTGCTGGATGTATTGTGCCGGATACATCTGCCCAGGCATGCAGTATACGCATCCGTGTATCAGCCTAAACAGAAGACGAGAGAGCGTAACGCGATATCTTGAGATACGAGAAAGGACCGAAGAGTCGACGTTGACTTTAACCGTTATCTGTACAGTGTCAATACATGCTTGTATCCTCCAGCCTTCCCTATCAAGAAGCCCACGTGCTCAACTCCCGTTTTTGTCGTCCCCTACCCGTGAATCCATTTTCATTCTGCGCGTTCACAGATAGCTCGGAGGAGCTCGATCCACTGTCGGACGTCAGGAAAGGTCATTGAATCCATGGGAGACTCAGTCAGTACCACTCCTTCGCGAAGCCAATTCCCCCTTTCAAAATCTCTGAGCAGCTCCGCGCCCGCGAACAGCTTCGCGGCCTGTTCCAATGCGGCCCAACCCTCAGGCTGCGAGCGTACCCACGGTCTCGGCCTCAGACATATCAAGCTAGTCGCTACCGGTAGTGAAAGATGATCGTAAAGATCCGCGATGTTTCGTATCTGCTTGATCTCGTCAGAGTTTTCCAGCTCGTCTTCTGGAAAAGGAATTGGAGGCTCGTTGAACATCTGTTTGCGTAAGTCAATGCCGAAGTCGAGTTCATCCCCCTCCACTACCCCTAGCTCGGGAAAAACATTCGCCAGACCAGCCGACATCAACGTCTTGTACGATACTGCCTTGTATCCAATGCCTCTGATGGAGCCATGGGCCATGTACTCATGAAGCCCACCCTCGTAATATAGGTGCGGAACATGCCATACGAGGACCTCTCCATCCAGCTGCCGTGTGTCGATGACAGCGACGTGGGGGTCGTGCTTTGCGTCTATGGACTTAGCATAGTAGAGCGCTAGATGAATGGACCCAGTCCATGAGCTGAACTCGGAGCTGAGCCAAGGCCTTTTATCGTTGCCATAATGCGTTGCCACCATTCTGTAAAGCTCACTTTCTGGCTTCTCGTAGAACGTCCTTTCTGGCGCTTCCTTCATGAAGCCGTGCGGAATGATTTCCTTGATGCTGTTAGTCGCGAGTTCTGGTCCTCCGCCACTTTTGCTGCTCCAAGTGCGGAATAGGAATTGGGGGACGTTGTTCTATCGGAGGTCTTCAAGAAGTTAGTTAAGAGCGTTACAAGATAGTGTAGTGAAGTACCTTAGAAAAATGCCTTGCGAACACCAGTAATTGGCTCGGTGTTGCTTGCTTCCAGCATGATCGCCTAGGTATGGTGAGTTTTGGTGAATTTGTTGAGGCGAAGAGTTAGTTGAAGATGGGTGTTAGGTGGTAGAAGACGGTTCAGCGATTGTTGGATATGGTAATAAGTCTGGTAGCTGCTTTTCTTAATAGTCTTGATTTTAGTCGCTCTTATTGTCCTTGCGTCACAATAGCAAAAGACGGAAGGTTTTAATTTTCAAGTAAGTGAGGTGAAGGCGACAGTCCATCCTCCAGTCACCAAGAGTTCTCCGCCTGGGTGCTAGGCAACGACTATCTGTGACACAGCAACTTCGATACAGATTTCGACCGCATCAAACGATGTTAGGGTTTATTGTTCTATTCGGAGTTTTGAGAAGTTTAGCTCACGCTGAATACATCATAATTCGATGTCTACAGTGCCATCTCATGTATTGGAAACAAGGCCTCCAATGGACGCAAGCAACGCTACCTATGTTCTAGACATATACCTCCTAGTCTCCAACTACGCAAGTAATATATCCAGGAAATCATCTCACTCTTTGCAGCAAGCTTCAAGACAGACTGAACGTACGTTTTCGAAGTGCACGGATATGCCTGCCTCCAGCAGCCGACCAAAAATCTGCACTCCAGCCTCTTTGTAGTCCTTTACTCGCTGCTTCGGGTCGTTATCGAAATCGAGAGATATTCTTTTCAAGCTGCGCAGCTTGCTGCGGTCATCCAGAACTCCCGAGATCCACTCTATCACAGCGGTAGTCGGATCAGCCACATTAAGGTACTCTACATTCGGCGGCAGCGCCTCGAACGGATGGAGAGGGGAACATTCGTAGGGGGTTGAGTTGATGAGAACACTTTGCGGAATGGATAGGCGCTTTATTAGAGTGAAACGTTGCAACGATCGCGATGGTCGGAGGTAGTCGATCTGTTTAGAATCTCCGGTGTCAGAGCACTTTAGATCCAGCTCTTCCAGAAGATGTGAGGCAGGGATCAGCGGATCGATGATGATGGAACTCGTAAATCCTTGCCCAGGATAGCATATGCGTTCCCGATTGTAGGTGGCGTAATATAGGTTGTCGTACTCATAATAGCCGTAAGAAAACCCAATACCACCACTCATGTTGTTATAATGTTCTATCCAATTGGTAAAACATAAGTGCAAAGACCTCAGGGCGGGGAGCCGTTGGAAGAAAGGCGAGAGGTCTTGTGTATTGGCTGCCTGGTATTCGTAAAGTATTGGGCGATGTAGAGTCAAGGTAGTGATACCATGGAGTAGGATAACTGGTTCTTTGTCCCATGCTATGGGCCCTGTACAGTCGAGTTCCAAGTGTAGCAGTTTTGGAAAAGTAGACCAAGACCTGTCCATTTCTCCCCAAGCAACAGATAGCCGTCGGAGGTGTGGAAGAAGCAAAGTACCAGGAGCAGTAACAGCATGCCTTTCGGCTATGCCAGGGAACGTCAGACTCAGGCTCGGCGGCGTCATGAAATCCTGGTTATCTCCAGAACAGAACGTGAGATTCTGCAGCTGATCTGTCAACACCAGCAATAGGCCAATGCAAGCATAAAGATCGCCGTCTTTGACTCTGCTAGCCCACTTCATCTGATCGATAGGCCAAGAATGTGTCGACTTTATTGCGTGTGTGACGACCTGGTCCCAGGAGTCATCATAGCCTACAGCCGATCTGTAAACGTGCTGAGGACCACGATATCCCGTTATTTGTAAAGAGCGGACCTTCTTAGCGAGATCTGGCCTTTTTACTAAGGTTCTGAGGAGTTCCGGAAGAGACTGGTAATGCGTCCTGAGACTAATGGAAGTGTGAAGAGCTTCTTGCGGGATGTCGCGGAACTGGCGTGCGGTTAGAGCTAGGTCTTTGAGATCGGGTGGCTGAAGGCGTAGCGCGATATCGAGCAGGAGCTCGTCAGGTAGGCTCTTAAGCTGAGCCATGATCGTGCTTCGAAACGGCAGTATCGATTGCGAAGTTGAGTTGATGGTGGGGACAGGTCGGAGATGGAACGGAGATCGCAGCTCAGATAGCAGGTCAAAGTTGAGTGTGAAGGAAGCAGGCGTAACTTTCTCCTTTCACTTCGTCATAAGTAAAATTGCATCAGACTTCAAGTCTGACTGTTGAATAGTCGCGCAGAAACTAAACCTTGGTATTACCCTGGCAATACCACGGTACTTTGATGAGTAATGCGATGACATGTAGATGATGAGCCAATAACAACTCCCGCAACACAAGCGACGCCCATGTCTCCAAAGACCACCGGCGCCTCATCAATGGACATTGATACTCGTTACTTGTGGCGGCAGATACACGTCGTAGTCGCGCTTTCTACTTTTGAGGAGGGTGGTCTCTAGATGCTGTGCTGAGGACTTGCCACGGAGAAAAGGCGCTGCAGCAGGAAATGGGATGGCATTCACGTTGGACGGCGATGGTAAACTTGGTCTTTTCGTATTTCTTTGGCCTAGCGCGCCGGCCGTGAGTTCCGAGTCTAAGCATCAGTACCCTGGAACATGTTGCCCACGCTCGTCTCAGACTTAACAGCATCCTCATGATAATGCGAACCCGCCGAGGTAACCGTAGTGTCCAATTCTTCCAGACGCCTCAAATCCATAGGCGCAGCCAAAAGCGGAATGACGTAAGGATCGAAAGTCTTCCAGTAAGGGTTGTTAAGGTGGTATTGCTGGGACTGCCGCGAGCGTTAGTTTGTCACGGGATCGATAGACGGTCTTTTCTCGGATCGTGAGTGAGCGTGCATCATCTTCGGAGTTGGAGGCATGCGCCAAAACATCCTCCTCCAACATCTGCTCATACGCAAACCAATAAAAGCCCCCCCCGTCCATTATCATGAAGCGAACCAAAAAGAAGATCAAACTTACAGATTCCTTCAAGTACCGCTCAACAATAGTAAACTTCCTCTTATCCACCGTATCCTGCATAACGAACCAACTCAGCGTCTCCTTATCCTTGCTGTACACCTGACTCGCTTCCACAAGCTTAGCACTCAGCTTGCTGATGCTCTCCTGGTCTTCCTTGGCGAGGAGGTGAACGACGATTGTGTAGACCATTTTGGCTTCTCTTGTTCCTTTCTCGTTCGTTGTGTTGCTGTGTTGGTGTGGACACTGGCGATCAAGCTTTTCGCTTCGCTTGGAAAATGGAGTTTGCGTACGTAGTTGAGTACCAGAATGGGACCGTATGACAGAGAAAAGAGAAGAAGATTTAAACGTCGCGACAAACAACAGTAGATTTTTCTGCATCGGTGATGCTGTTTTTGCGGCCTAGTGACGTATCACCGCGACGGAACCCCGCAGCTGAAAGTGGAGTTCGGCCGATCTGCATGCCTTCCTTCCCACGCTACAAGCAACACCAAGGAACGGAAGGAGCGCGCAGCCGCAACATCCCCAAAAAGCAAGGGAAGGAGCACAATGAGTGTCTTCGTAGGCGCGGGATGTAAGGCCGACGATAACGCGTAGCCACGTGGGGACGTGGGACACGGGATGGAAGCACCACCACCAGCACACTAAGCACAGCAACCAAGATTTTTTGAACTTGAAGATCAATTACACATCTAAACAACGAGGGAAAACAAGAACAAGGGTGCCTCCCAACACCCCGCCCCATTCTCCCTCATCTATGTCGTAACTAAACTGATAAGCTAAAGAAGGGGGGAATTTGCGAAAAGACAACGCAGTCGCACCGTAGCAACGCTAAAGTTACACCATCATCACCATTCCCAATTCCACCCAGAAAATTTGGAAAAAAACACCACCCCATATGCTATGCCATGCCGTTAAAGCGAATGATAATCGAAAACATGGGTACTACTATGCCCTGCTGAGCATCTTGAGCACCTCCTCCTTCTCGCTCGTGGGCAGGGTGCTGAGCAAGCTCATGACACCCTTGAGACCGCCCTCGCGGTCCTTGCGCATGAGCTGCGCGATTTCGAGCGCAATGCCATCCGTCTTGAGTTGCTCAATCTTGTCGCTGACGAGGGGCCTGTTCTCTTCGTACCAGGTCGCGACGGCCATGTCGTCTTGCTCCCAGTTGGGGATGTTGGACAGGTGCTTCAACATCTCGAAGCCGCGGCTGCGGGTGAGCGGGTTGGCCATGGGGTTGTCGTGTGTGGGCGAGGCGGCAGCAGCGAACTTCTTCAGGATGTACTCCTCGTTGAGACGGCGGCGGAGGCGCCAGTAGAAGAAGCGGCGGGCGTTTTGCCATCGCAGGGCTTGTCGGATGACACCCTTGGCTTGCATGCGGCCGGAGCGGTCGTGCAGATCGGCGAATTGAAGGGCGATTTGACCGTAGACAGGTAGAAGCTTCTTCTCGCGCTCGGTCATTTGGGCCTTGATTTCGCTGAGCTCGGACTCCGGTGTTGCCTTGTCGTTCAGCTTGCGCTTGAGAGCACCGTAGGTAGGGTCGTTGCGGGCCATAGTGTCGAGTTGACGTTCCCGACGGTACTTGATACCGACGATACCTTCGGGTTCGAGCACACCACCACGCGAGTCCTCGTCAGCGTACATCTCCATGAATTGAGGGTTGATAGTGGGATCAACGACGACCCAAGATCCACCACGAAGCTCGCCGTACGGAGGAATGTAGACGAAGATGGGCTGTTCGAACTTGACGAGGGCATCGACAATGTAAGAACCGTACTTGAGGACCTCGTTGTACATGTCGCGCTGACCACCGGAGAAACCACGCCAGTTGGCAAGAATCATCAACGGCAGTTGCTCACCGTTGTTGAAGTCCTTGATAGCCTGAGCAGTCTTGAAGGCGGAGTTGGGGTACCAGACACCACCAGCCTCGGATGTGACCTGTTCGATGGAGTCAGGGTTGGCGGGATCAGCAGGTGTAACGTTCTCGACCGAGCGTGTCTCAACACCGATGACACCAATAGGAATGCCACCGAGGCGAGCACGACCGACGACAACCGTCTTAGCCCAACCACCAAGAGTCTCAACGAACGAGCCGCGATCGAAAAGACCAGACTGGAAACCGTCTTCGTCCTCCTTTCCGGCGATGAGATGCCTGACATCGTAGGCTGACTTGCCAGGTGGGTAGTAGGTGATGTCGCGGTCCCAGTTGTCGGCAGATGGCGAGATCGGGACGGGGCTGCCCTTCTTGTCGGGTACGTATGACAGCCATTGGACGATCTTGGAGACACCCTCGAAGTCATCATCGGCAGTCGAGTGTGAGACACCGTTTCTGTACATGATCTGGGTACCACCAAGCTGGAGGTTCGAGGTGTAAACTTCACGACCAAGCAGCTTGTTGATGGCCTGTGCACCGGTGAGGATGATTGGCTGTCCTTCAATCTGGATGGCACGCTGACCAAGGCGGACGAGGTAAGCACCAATACCTATTTAGCGTTAGTAGACGAATTTGGACATCGTGAAGAAGATACATACCAACTGAGCGGCAAGTCACCAAAGTGATGGTGAAGATGTCCTCGTACGCCCTCGATGTCTCACCAGCGATGAGACCAGAACCACGGAGCGACTCAACACCAAGACCATCCTCAGCACCAATGACAGTAGTGATCTTGTAGCGGTTCTCGCCATCGACCTCAACCTTCTCGCAGATGACATCATTGCGCTTGCCATCAACGAAGTGCTCGTACTTCTCAGGTGTCAGGTAGAGGTAGTCGAAACCAGCCTCGGGCTTGTCGGCGTCCTTCCATGCAACAGAGAAGTGAGGAATGAGCTCCTCAGCAAGACCGATACGAGCACCAGAGTTGGCAGAAAGGTAGATTCGCGGAATGCCAAGCTTGCGTGCAAGCTCAGAGCACTTGTGGAAGAAGTTGTCTTCCGCTGGACCGAAGGAACCGATCTTGAAGGTGATGTCGTTGGCGATGATGATGAAGCGACGACCACGGGGGTACTCAGGTGTCTTTGCGGTGACCATCCATCCGACCATACCAATAGTGTTGTGGCCAGGGTCACGGTTGACCTCAGCCAGGTTGTCAGTGTCGTCAAGCACCAACTCGTAGTACTCGAGGCACTCTCCCTTCGCCGGCTGCCTGTCACGGAGGAACGAGTGCTTCTTGATAGCCTCGATCCAGCTGTTCTCGGTCGCCTGGCGGAAGAGCTCAGGGAAGTCGTACACGTACTGAGTACCCATGAGATGAGCCTTGTACCTCTTGGGCTGCAGCGCTCCCTTGGTGGGGTAAGGAGTCGAGACGGGCTGGAGGTGAAGAGCACCAATCTTGGTGGTTCCGCCAATGCTGTGGAAGAGCCATTTGCCAGCCTTCTCGGACTTGCGCTCAGCGTACATCTCAACCTGGATGACGTATCCGGAGGTGTTGGTGATGATGACACGAAGAGGATAAGGAATGCCAGTGGCGGGGTCGGTGACAATGATGCGGATCTCAGCACCCGTGACACGGAGACGCCAGAGTCGTCGACCGAAGCGCTCCAAGAAACCGCCAATAGCCTCCTCAACCTCCGTGGGGTTAAGAGGGAAGACGTGCGAGAAGTTGATGAAGATGTGGTTCATGTCAGCCTGCGAAGTGCCAACAATCTCCAAAGCATCCAAAATGTCAGTCATCAACCTGTCAGTCTCGGAGACCATGTACTCCGCGGTGGGGATCTCCTCGCGAAGACGGCCAGATCGGACGACAGCCCTCAAGAAGTAGCGCTTGTCGCTCTCGGCGCCCTTGCCAACAGCCTCGTAGATGTGAATGTTGCGGTTCTCGGTGAACACAGGTTTGATGTCGAACTTGGAGAGTCTGCCAAGCTCAAGCTGGAAGGCAAGAGCAGGCTCGACGTGACGAATACTGGCGTCTTCCTCGTATGTGGGTCCACGGAATGTGTAGTAGCCGGGGTAAGTTCCGTCCTTGTGACCGCAGATGAATGAGATGCGGCGGATGCGGCGGGACAGAAGCTCCTGCTTGAAGTCGTCGACAATGGGCAGAATGCGCTCGAGGATCTCCTTGTCATCACTG